CCAAAGCTATAATATCCTTTTTAAGGTGTGGTGACCAGAACTGCACACAGTATTCCAAATGAGGTCGCACCATTGATTTATATAGAGGCATTAGGATATTGGCTGATCTGTTTTCAATACCCTTCCTAATAATCCCCAGCATAGTGTTGGCCTTTTTTATTGCAGTCACACACTGTCTCGACATTTTCAATGAGTTCTCTACTATGACTCCAAGATCTCTCTCTTGGTCAGTCTCTGCCAGTTCGGACCCCATCAACGTGTATTTATAGTTAGGATTTTTGGCTCCAATGTGTATCACCTTGCACTTGGCCACATTGAACCCCATTTGCCACGTTGATGCCCACTTGCCCATCCTTGACAGATCCCTTTGGAGTGCCTCACAATCCTCACTGGTTTTCACCACCCTGGACAACTTCGTATCATCTGCAATTTAGCCACTTCACTGCTTAGTCCGAACTCCAAATCATTAATGAACAAGTTAAAAAGCATCGGACCGAGTACTGATCCCTGCGGTACCCCACTGCTTACCACCCTCCATTGAGAAAATTTCCCATTTGTACTCACTCTCTGTTTCGTATTAATTAGCTAGTTTTTGATCCAGAAAAGGACTTGTCCTTTTATCCCATGATTTTTGAGCTTACTTAGGAGCCTTTGATGAGGAACTTTATGAAAAGCTTTCTGGAAGTCTTATGTTCTTATGAACCTCCATGTTCAGAGGCACTCAGCCTCTGAATCGCAGTGCCAGGAAGCAACATCAGGGGAAGGCCTCGGCCTCTGTGCCCTGTTTATTGACCCTCCAGAGGAACTGGTTGGCCACTGTGTGAGAGACAGGATGCTGGACTAGATGGACCCCTGGTCTGATCCAGCAGGGCTCTTCTGATGCTCTTATAGATTCATGTGTTTAGCCATGTTGGTCTGAAGTAGTAGAACAATGTTTGAGTTCAGAGCCACCTTTCAGACCAACAGAGTTTTATTCAAGGTATAAACTTTTGTGAAGGCAAACATACTTCTTCAGATACAATGAAATGGAAGTTACCAGTCCATATATATAGGCAGAGGGTTAGCAGTAAATTAGCACAATGAAAGTGTTCAACAGATTCAAGGATCAAACAGGAATAACAAGTTTAGTTTATATGCTTACCATTTGTTTGGGTTTAATTCTGGGGGAAACATAGTGAAGGAAATAAATATGTCAAAGTTGGAGATGGCTGTGCAAATGTACCCTTAATTGTGGAATGCTGAGCGTAATTAAACATCTTCATTATGCTAATTTTCTGCTAACTCTCTATGTATTTATATGGACTGGTAACTTCCATTTCATTGTATCTGAAGAAGTGTGGATGCAAATGAAAGCTTATACCTTGAATAGAACTTTGTTGGTCTAAAAGGTGCCATTCGACTCTAACTTTGTTCTTATGTTTCTTTGGTGCGCAAAATGTTGAGGAAATTTCATATTTCTAAGCAAACACTCCAGGATTTGCTTTAGTATATTTTTAGTCCATCTCCCCATAAAAACTGCATTCTGGACTAACCACTGAATTCCTAAGGGAGTATGAATATCTATAAAGCTGTGGAATTTCTCCTGTAGCAAATTCTTGGGGAGAAATATCTCTTGACAGCTGTGTCAAGGCCATTCTTGGCTCGAGGGACGGCCAATTGTGCAACTCTCGCTTCCCTTTCTGCTTTTCTGCAGAAATACCCTGTCCGTGACGTCAGTCCAGCAGTTTAAACCGAGGCAGCTATCTGTAGTCAAATCTTATTTTTAATTCAGACGGATGCAGTCATTTCACTTGCAATTATAGCCTTCGAAGCGATGCAATGCCCTCTGTCCAGGTCCTATATTTTAAGACTCTTTCTCGAAGCCTTTTTTTTTTTTTTTTTTTTTTTTGCTTTTGGAAAGCAAATGCCACCTGTGGTTTCCGAAGAAGAAACCCCAGGCTTCCAGCAGGGTATGCTGAGTGGAATTCTGGATTTGGGTAGCTGGCGCCTCCATCTCCAGTATTAGACGTCCGTTGAGAGCCACGTGGTAGTTTTCAAGGACCAGCCAATCGAGAGCCTTTGCTTTGTCCTACACAGATCTAGTGAGATGGAGGTGTATTGAGGACTGTTGGAATGTCCTTCTTAGAGTCGGGGAAGTCTCCAGGGGCACGCACAGCAGAAACCTGGAATTGGTTGTCTGGACTAGATCCTTATGATCTGCCTGTTAAGAGTACCAAACATTTCAGAAGGGCTAAATTCTCATTATTTTCTTGCAGCTCATAGGGTGGAGGTGGACATGGGTTACGCACGTACGCGTCCATTGCACTATGGGACCAGTTTTTAATGGACTGTGTCACATACAAATTGAACGACGTATCCCTAAAGCCAGTCAAACAGCAATTTATGGGGAAATGGGAACCCATTCTAGACTTCCTCACCAAAGAAGAATTCATTCCTATCTCCCGGTCTCACTCCCGGCAATGGTTGTGAATCTCAATCCCTTAATACGGATTAGGATATAGCGCTACACCGTTAGCTTCTTCCTCTCCTACGTCAGACTGTTTTATTGGCTACTCTGTAGTTGTATAATATGTTGTTCGCTTATATGTATAGAGTTCTTTCTTTCTTTCTTTCTTTCTTTCTTTCTTTCTTTCTTTCTTTCTTTCTTTCTTTCTTTCTTTCTTTCTTTCTTTCTTTCTTTCTTTCTTTTATACCGCTCCTTCCCGGAAGCTCGGAGCAGTTTACAAAGAAGTATTTACCGTTCCAACTAGGGCCACACACAGTACAGGGAAGAAATGAATGCCTACCAGGCACCTGAGCATGGTGTGTTCATGGTGACATACATTAGTGCACTCACACTGCAGTAGTTGATTTTTGGGAAAAGTCTTTACTGAACTTGTAATAGACATTGATTACACCTGTTGTTGGGTTTCTTATGCCTATTGGATTATTTCTCATTCTAAAAATCTTGTGTTTCTGATGTATCCTGAGAAAAATCAAATAAAATTTAATATTTTTTTTAAAAGCAAAGCCGTAAGACAGGGGTACCCAATGTTTCTGAGCCTGTTTGGCGTAGTGGTTAAGTGCACGGACTCTAATCTGGAAGAACCAGGTTTGATTCCCCACTCCTCCACTTGCAGCTGCTGGTGTGACCTTGGGTCAGTCACAAGCTCTGGCACAGCTGTCCTTGAAAAAGAGCAGTTTGTGTCAGAGTTCTCTCAGCCCCACCCACCTCCCAGGGTGTCTGTTGTGGGGAGGGGAAGGGAAAGGAGTTTGTCAGCCGCTCTGAGACTCCAAGTGAAGGGCGGGGTATAAATCCAATCTCTTCTTCTTCTTCTCTATATGTAATGGTTGAGGAAATTCTGCTTCACTGTTATCCGAAGAAGTGTGCTTGCACGCGAAAGCTCACACCTTGACTAAAACGTCGCTGGTCTTAAAGGTGCCGCTGGTCTCGGACTTTGTTCATAAAAGTATATCTTGATTACCTTGCCAGTTTTCTGCCTTGATGAACCTATTATAATGGCTGCAATTTTACTCCCTGGACGACTGACCGACGAATGTGCCAGAACTGGCTACAGGCAGCGATTATAACTCTGGAGAAGTGGTCTTCTGTGCGTCTCTCTTTGGACTGGCGCATGAGGGCCTGTGGAGCTAGATATGGCATACAATCAAGCTTGTGTGGATTATGGGTAATTTCCCCCCCCATGCTAGTTTGGCTCGTTGAACTGAGACATAAACGTCCCCCGAGGTAGAGGGTGGAGTGGCGTATTGGTTAAGTTCTCTAATCTGGAGAACTGGGTTTGAATCTCCACTCCTCCTCCACAAGAAGCCTGGGCCATGAACACGTGAAGGCATGAGCCCCTTTGGTGTAGTGGTTAAGTGTGTGCACTTGCAGCTGCTGGATGACCTTGGGCAAGCCGTAGTTCTGTCAGAGCTGTTCCCTCAAGGACAGTTCTGGAAAGAGCTCTCTCAGCCCCGCCTACCTCACAGGGTGCCTGTTGTGGGGAGGGGAAGGGATGGGAAGCCGCTCTGAGAGTCCGAGTGAAGGGGGGGGGTATAAATCCAACCTCTTCTTCCCCCTCCTCTTCCTTCTCCTCTTCCTCCTACTTCCCATCGGTCCACCAAGGTCAGTATTGCCTGTTCAGACTGGGGGTGGCGCTCCAGGTTTTCATGAGTAGTATGCTAGATACAATTGCTTATACTAGATAGTTACTATAAAGTATACAAAATTTCCCCAAATATTTACAACAATAAGAAAACAATAGAATATCAGTGGCTGCCAACAGCCCCAAAATAACAGTGGAATTCCTAAACAGTTACTGTTGGCAGTCGTATCTTAAAAACCAAGAAAATACACATATTAAGAAAACTTATATACAACAACAGTTAAGCTGCTTATGAGGAAGTCACTAGACGAAACCAAGTGTAAGCCGGCTGCTTCGTCAAGCTCCAGTAGCTTTCAGCTCATTAAGCCTTCTACTTTTTTGACTGCCAACAGTAACTGTTTAGGAATTCCACTGTTATTTTGGGGCTGTTGGCAGCCACTGATATTCTATTGTTTTCTTATTGTTGTAAATATTTGGGGAAATTTTGTATACTTTATAGTAACTATCTAGTATAAGCAATTGTATCTAGCATACTACTCATGGTTCAGAGTGTATTATTGGTTCTATATTGGCCCCAGTTTTGTCTTGTTTCCTTGGCTGTGTGATTACTGGGAGGTCTGTTTTGTTTGGATTTGGCTCCAGGTTTTCAGGCAGGGGTCTTTCACATCACCTACTACCTGGTTCTTTTAAATGCCAGTCACAGTTCTCTCAGGACTCTCTCGGCCCCATCTGCCCCACAAGGTGCCTGCTGTGGAGACGGGAAAGGCGATGGTAAGCCCCTTTGAAACTCCTTAGGGTAGAGGAAAGTAGGGTATTTAAAAACCAACTCGTTTTCTTCTTCTTTCAAGTCTTCTATGCGGCTTCCTTGCCAAAAAGTTACTACCGCCGGGTTCTTCTCTCTTGTTCCCATGGATCTGTCCCCTGATTATTGGGGGGGGAGGGGGGGCACTACCACCTAAAAGGCGCCTGAAAACTGCCGTGGTTGCAGTGACTTCTGTTCATGTTTGCTGGAGCAGATAATGAGTCATCGGCTGCTCTCCCTGCAGGCCTTGCTGGGGAGGGCCGTTTCCCTATCTCCTTAACACGCAGAGCTGGAAGAAGAGCTTGGCACGGAGACCAGTCGGGAAAGGATGCTCCGTCCTTCAGAGAAAGCTAGAGCGTCCCCAATACGTCCAACCAGTGAATCACGCAGAGAGGGGAAGGAAGCTGTTAAGTTTGGGAAAGAGAAGCAAAGGCATGCAGGAGATGCACTTTGTTTTTTGTTTTTTTTACTGATGTATTATTGTCCCCTATCCTGCAGCAGGAGTCTGACCCCTTCGAATTCAGCTCTGGGAAAGACTTCCCGTTTCCATGGCTGCAATTCTGCGCTCACTTGCTTTGTGGTTCAGCGCCACTGTCCTTGGTGGGATTCTTCTTTGGAGTCAACATGCATGAGGTCAACTGCAAGGGTGTCGCTCCCGACGAGTGGCCTCTCTGGCACAGTTGTGTGGAATCAGTTTATCAAAGAATTAAAGGCCCCTCCAAGCTCAGAACATGGACACGCCCACGTAGATGGCAGCTTATCTATGCATGACTTGGCACTCCAGTCTGCTTTGCAGGATAATTCCATGTACTGGGAGGGGTTTGGCTGATGCAGTTGCTCCCACTGCAGAAGCTCAGCAGAATTACCAGGAGGGTGGCCGTTGTGTCTCTGTATGAGTCACTGTGCTGGGCTTCTAATCAGTGATGCATGATCAGAACGTGGTTTCAGGAGGGTAAGCCTTGTTGGTGTGCGGTAGAAGAGTATCTTTGACTCCCAAAAGCTTAAAAGATTTCCCTTGCTTGAAAGCCAGTTGAATCCGACTCTAGGGTTGCGGTGCTCAACTCCGTTTCCAAGCCGAAGAGCCAGCGCTGTCTGAAGACGTTTCCGTGGTCATGTGGCCAGCATGACTAAATGCCGAGGCGCATGGAACGCTGTTACCTTCCCACCAAAGCAGTACCTATTTATCTACTTGCAATTTCTTGCTTTCGAACTGCTAGGTTGGCAGGAGCTGGGGCCAGAGATGGGAGCTTACTCCGTCATGTGGCACTCGGGTCTCGAACTGCTGAACTACCGACTTTCCACAGCCTGCAGTTCAGCTTCTTAACCACTTGAGCCACCGCAGCTCCCCCAAAAGCTTATGCCCCCCAAAATCTCATTGGTCTCTAAGGTACTACTGAACTTGAAACACGATCAGGACAATGACTACATAGGCTTTCGTAAGGGCAGGTTATTCAGTTCTCTTACGCACCGAGTCTACAGAAATATCTTTTTGGCTGAAAAATCTAAACATAGTCTCCTGTTGTACAAGTGTACCTCTGTTGTCACTATTTTGGAGAAGTTGAGAGGAGCTGTGCTTTAGTGGTAGGACATCTGCTTGGCATGCGGAAGGTCCCAGGTTCAATCCCCAGCATCTCCAGTTGAAAGGGCCAGATAGGAGGTGACGTGAAAGACCTCAGCCTGAGACCATGAAGAGCCATGAAGTGGGGCTGTAGCTCAGCGGCAGAGCCTCAGCTTGGCATGCAGAAGGTCCCAGGTTTGATCCCCGGCATCTCCAGTTAAAAGGACCAGGCAGGTGGTGATGGGAAAGACCTCCGCCTGAGACCCTGGAGAGCCATGGAGAGGGGCTGTGGCTCAGTGGCAGAGCGTCTGCTTGGCATGCAGAAGGTCCCAGGTTCGATCCCCGGCATCTTCAGCTGAAAGGACCAGGCAGGAGGTGATGTGAAAGACCTCAGCCTGAGACCCTGGAGAGCTGCTGCCAGTCCGAGTAGACAATACTGACCTTGACGGACCAAAGGTCTGATTCAGTATTAAGCCGGATTCATGTGTTCATGTGTGTTGTTTTAGTCTGAACGCTTCTTTTGTCTTTCAGATTCGCTTTATTCTGATCCAGAACCGGGCGGGCAAGACGCGCCTGGCCAAGTGGTACATGCAGTTTGACGATGACGAGAAGCAGAAGCTTATCGAGGAGGTCCATGCGGTTGTTACTGTGCGGGACGCGAAGCACACCAACTTTGTCGAGGTAGAACATTTCCGTCTTATTGGGGGGGGGGGGCTTCTTCTGTCTCCCAGCTGTCTCAGGGCCTCCCCTTCTCTCCTTCAGTAATCTAGATTCTTGCTACAAACACTACATATCCTCAATGTCTGGATCTTAGGGAGCCTAATTTCTTAAAACTTTGTCCCAGCCATTGTCTGGTTCCTGAGTTTTCCGCGGCCTTTGCCCATCAGGTTTTTCCTGCATTTAATTTTCGTTGGGGTGTGGGGGGTGGGCAAACATGAAAATTGTTGATCTTTGCTCCATGTCCTGGAATTTAACTTTTCTATCACATAGAAGAGTAGATCAATTTGGTGTGCCTGCAATATTTTGAGATAGTTTATTCTTACAGAATTGATACTTGTAACCCTCCCCACCCACCCAGTGTTCCCTCTAAGCTGAGTTAGTGTGAGCTAGCTCACAGTTTTTTAGCCTCCAGCTCACACATTTTAGTCTCAGCTCAGGAAGGATGGCTCCAGAGCAAACTAATTTATGCAGTATCTAAATTGCTTGCTCCCAATTTCAATGCCAGTAGTTCACACACTAGAATTTTTGCTCACAAGACTCCATGGTTTAGAGGGAACATTGCCCCCATCACTACTTTGAGAGCCAGTGGTTAAGTCCGCGGACTCTAATCTGGGAGAACCAGGTTGGATTCCCCACTCCTCCACTCGCAGCTGCTAGATGACCTTGGGCAAGCCATAGTTCCGTGAGAGCAGTCCTTGAAAAGGCAATTCTCGAAAGAGCTCTCTCAGCCCCACCTACTTCACAGGGTGTCCGTTGTGGGGAGGGGAAGGGAAAGGAGTTTGTAAACCACTCTGAGACTCCGAGTGAACGGCAGAGTATAAATCCAATCTCTCTTCTCGTCTCCTCTTTGGACATTTGTCTACCATCGAGTCTTGGCTGAGGAAAAGTCCCACAACTTGAGACGAGCAACATTCAAATCCGGGACCTCGTCCTCTTTGGACTCCTTGGATAGAAACCCCTTTGGGTTCTACACCGAAATTCCTTTGTACTGAACTTATATGGCTTTCCGTTTGGACCGGACATACATGGTTTTCCCTTCAGTAACTAACATTTTATAAGTTTGATATGTAACCTTCCGATAAGTGAACGTGTTAAAAAAGTAAGAATTTTCCATGAGAAACAAGGAAACGTAACTGGTTTCATAACTTTATTTTTGTGCACCGTGTCAGTTTCTTGTTCTCAGTTGGGCTGGAATTTAACCTAGCATGTTAATCAGGTATGGTCCTCACCTCTTCATGGGGGCCTTCTTTACAACCTTTGGGCAGGAGGGAAGTTAGTTGGCTGAAGAGCTAGAACAGGCGTCCCCGACCTTTTTGAGCCTGCGGGCACATTGGGAATTCTGACGCGGCATGGTGGGCGCAGCAGCAAAAGGGCTGCCGCAGAAGGGCTTCTGCAGGGGGCGAAGCCAGCACTTCGGCAATGCACCGAGGACTCTTGTGCTGTGGTGGCAGCCCTCCCCGGCCCCGCCCACTTCCTGAAAACACTTGGCAGGCACCAGGAAAGGGGTCAGCAGGCACCACGGTGCCCTCAGGGGCACCGATGAGCTAAAATTTCTTTCCCCGGCCAGGACAGTCGCCTCGGCCGTTTTGCGCAACTTGAGCCCTTCGGGTCCTTGGTCTTTTTGTGGAGGGTCCCCGCTGAGTACTTCTGAGTACTTCTGTGCGGTGGTGGTAACTTTCACGTCCACCTTCCTTTTCTTCCAGTTCCGCAACTTCAAAATAATCTACAGACGCTACGCGGGCCTCTACTTCTGCATTTGTGTGGATGTGAATGACAATAACCTGGCCTACTTGGAAGCCATTCACAATTTTGTGGAGGTGGGTACCTTGGACTCTGTGTGTCTGTGTGTGTGTGAATGCCTGCACGGACCCACACTGGGGAATTGTGGGATCAAATGCTTCTGTACATTAGGGGAAAAATACAATAACCTATCTCCCCGAGAACCTATAGCCCAGTGATGGAGAACCTTTTAGAGACCGAGTACCCAAACTGCGACCCAAAACCCACTTATTTATCGCAAAGTGCCAACACGGCAATTTAACCTGAATCCTGAGGTTTTACTTTAGAAAAAACAACTCATACATTAACTTAAGATGATCCAAACAAAGTAAGGAAAGCAATCCCAAATGCTTTCATTTACTTAAAGTTATTTGGCAGAGAATTCAATGATGGTCTGGGCCTGGCTGGGGCGATGGCACACGTGCCCACAGAGAGGGCTCTGAGTGCCACCTCTGGCACCCGTGCCATAGGTTCACCACCACGCTATAGCCGATTCCTGGGAGCCATGTCATCAGAAAATAAGAGAAGCCAATGTTGGATCAGGCCAATGGCCCATCTAGGCCAACACTCTGTCACACAGTGGCCAAAAATACCAGGTGCCATCAAGAGGTCCACCAGTGGGGCCAGGACACTAGAAGCCCTCCCACTGTTGCCCCCCCCCCAAGCACCAAGAAGACAGAGTATCCCTTGCCCCTGAGTCCCTATCTATACCTTGTGGCTAATAGACACCGATGGACCTCTGCTCCATATGCTTATCTAATTCCCTCTTGAAGCCATCCATGCTTGTAGCCACCGCCACCTCCTGTGGCAGTGAATTCCATGTGTTAATCACTCTTTGGGTGAAGAAGTACTTCCCTTTTATCTGTTCTAACCCGACAGATCAGCAATTTCATGCCCACGAGTTCTTGTATTATGAGAAATTGAGAAAAGTGCCTCTTTCTCTACCTGCTCTATCCCATGCATAATCTTATAAACCTCGACCATGTCACCCCTCAGCCATCGTTTCTCCAAGCTAAAGAGCCCCAAGCGCCTTATCCTTTCTTCATAGGGAAAGTGTCCCAACCCTCTTATCATTCTAGTTGCCCTTTTCTGCACTTTTTCCAATGCTATAATATCCTTTCTGAGGCGTGGTGACCACATGTCTCCATTACCAAGATCTTTCTGATGTGCTAGTTGTTCACAAGCAGAGAATTCTTCTTCCTTTTGGAAGCTTCCGACCATACAGAAATAGGGGCTAGTGCAGTTGCAGTCAGACAAGCTCGTTAGCTCTGAATGTGAGGGCAAAGCCCTGCAGGGGCAGGCTGGACTGTGGCGCTTCAGACTGCAGGTGCTGAATCCCAACTTCAAAATTCCTTCTCACCAAAAAAAAAAGAAAAAAAAGAAATCCTTGCAAACAAGAAAACTAGCACAGGGCCCTGACCCGGAAAGCCAGTTTTGTATTGTATTTCCCCCCTAATATACAGAAGAGAGCCAGTTTGGTGTCGTGGTTAAGTGTGCGGACTCTAATCTGGGAGAACCGGGTTTGATTTCCCACTCCTCCACTTGCACCTGCTGGATGACCTTGGGCAAGCCGTAGTTCTGATAAGAGCTGTCCTTGAAAAAGAGCAGTTTCTGTCAAGAGCTCTCTCAGCCCCGCCTCCCTCACAGGGTGCCTGTTGTGGGGAGGGGAAGGGAAAAGGAGATGGTGAGCCGCTCTGACTCCCTTGGGTAGTGAAGGGCGGGGGATAAATTCAATCTCCTCCTCCTCCTTGTCAGATCTCGGAAGCTAAGCAGGGTTGGCTCTGGCAAGTCCTTGGGTGGGAGACCTCCTTGGAATACCAGAGGCAGGAGGACAGAGGCAGGCTTTATTCAGCCGCCTCTCTGAATATCCTCTAGGGCCCCCAGGAGGGGTCAGTCTCCAGAGGTCAAAGTGACTTCCAGGTGCAGACACACACACACACACACTCACACACAAATACCAAAAAAAAAAGAAAACTAGCACAGGAAGGTCTTTACCCCCTTGTTTGCTGGCTTTCTGCTCTCAGGGAGTGTTTAATATTTATTTATTTAATTTGTATCCCGCCCTCCCCGCCATGGCAGGCTCCGGGCGGCTTATTACAGACTATATATAAATATTAAAACAACAAGAGACGTTAAGACACAAAAGATAAATTAAAACCATAACGTATAAAATTTAGATTAAAAGGTAAAGGTCTCCCTTGCTCGAAAGCCAGTCGAATCCGACTCTAGGGTTGCGGTGCTCATCTCCGTTTCCAAGCCGAAGAGCCGGCGCTGTCCGAAGACGTTTCCGTGGTCATGTGGCCGGCATGACTAAACACCAAGGCGCACGGAACGCTGTTCCCTTCCCACCGAAGTGGCCCCTATTTATCTACTTGCAATTTCTTGCTTTCGAACTGCTTGGTTGGCAGGAGCTGGAACTAGAGACGGGAGCTCACTCCGTCCGTCATGCGGCACACTCGGGTCTCGAACTGCTGACCTTCCACAGCCTGCAGTTCAGCATCTTAACCACTTGAGCCACCGCAGCTCCTAAAATTTAGATTACAAGGCACATAAATATGAATAAAAGATGTCGGCGTTCTCGCAGGATCCGGTGGTCAACTACCAGCATTCTCCGGGTTCTTGCCAGGCTGTTAGTGGTTAAGTCAGTGCTGATGTTGATGTTGGGGCTGGGGCCACGACACTGAAAGGTGGCACCCTAATCAAAAGCCTGGTGGAAGAGCTCCGTCTTGCAGGCCCTGCAGAACTGTGAATGGTCCCGCGTGGCCCTGATGTCCTCCAGGAGCTCATTCCATCAGTGTGGGGCCGCCACAGAAAAGGCCCTGGCCGTCGTCACGGCCAGCCTGGCTTCTTTAGGGCCTGGAAGGGCCAGACGGTTTTGGGACCCCGATCTTAGTGCTCTCTGGGGAACGTACGGGGAATATAAATAAATAAATAATATTTCAATTTATTAATCGCTCAATCCTGCAGAGCTTGCTGGCTCTGAGCGATTTACAGTTACTCATTCACGCGGGACTAACAGTGATTTATGGGGGTAAGGGAGGACAACATATATCTTCTTCTTTTTTTTTAATCACACACATTCCCAGTTGGTGAGGGTTTGTCCAGGTGCAGGGTCAGACGTCTTCCGTTGGCATATTCACTTCGGCTTGGCTAGATGACGTCAGCTTCTCCAGGTCTTGCTGCACTGCACTGCCACCGCCTGGCCGGAACGGCCCATTACAGGCTTCTCGGAGTCAAAGAGATTTTTCCCCCCCTTAGGCTTTCAATCATTGGGAGCTGAGCATTCTGGTCGCCGGCTAACACCTCCCCCACCGGGGGTTTTTTGGTGTGCCCACCCTCTCTCAGGAGTGGTACCCATTTTATCTGTTCGCCGAAGCTTTCGAACCGCTGGGTGGACGGTGAGCTAGGGACAAGGCTGGTAGCTCACACCAACACGGGGCTAGAACTGACAGCCGTGCTGTTCAGCTCAGATGTTACTAACCAGAGGATAAATCCTCTGTGCCACCGCTCCTGGAATATAGAGCAGGATTCCAAAATGTGATGCTTCATCCGTAGCCTGAAGCAAACCAGTCTGTTCTGCCGCTGTATTCCCCTGCCAGTGTGAAGCAAGCTGCAGTTGCGGCTCCAAAATTTCATTATTATTTCGTTTAAGACCTTTTTATGCCACCTTTCCACAAGGCGGTCCATCAGTGTTGTCTTTGCAGGCACCATTGAGGGTGCTGACTGTAAGCCCCGTTGTATCACACCCTCCCCTTCTGGCCCATTGGATTCTTTCTTGGATAGCCTGTGAATGCTGTAAATGGGCCTTAAGAACACAAGGACTCTGCCGGATCAGACCAGATCTAGTCACACAGTGCCCACCCAGTTCCCTTGGAGGGCCAACCACAGGGCACAGAGGCCTTCCCTCGATAAGAACGTAAGAAGAGCCTTGCTGGATTCAGACCAGGGGTCCCTCTAGTCCAGCATCCTGTCTCACACAGTGGCCAACCAGCTCCTCTGGAGGGCCAACAACAGGGCCCAGAGGTTGCTGAGGCCTTCCCTGATGTTGCCTCCTGCACTGGAATTCAGAGGTTGACAGCCCCTGAACTTGGAGGTTCCCCTCAGTCACCATGGCTAGTAGCCACTGATAGACTTATCTTCCATGAATCTCTCTGACTAATCCCATTTTCAAGCTGTTTATTCCCGTGGCCATCACTACATCCTCTGGCAGCGAATTCCACATTTGACTCACACTCTGTGGGGAAAAAAAGTATCCCTCTTTGTGCTGGACAGAAATACGTGGTTGGTTCCATCAGGAAACTCAGTTGCAGTAGCTACCAGCTAGATCTCACGCAGAAAGTCGCATGCGTGCGCGCAGACCCATTTCTGCCCATGGGCTGGGGTCTCCAACAGAAGGAGGTTTGGATTTATACTGCGCCCTTCTCTTGGAGTCTCAGAGCAGCTTACACATTGCCCTTCTCTTGCAAACCTATACCCACCTCCTTCTCTTTTGTCTAGGTTTTGAATGAATATTTCCACAATGTCTGTGAACTCGACCTCGTCTTCAACTTCTACAAGGTGAGTTTCTGCACGTGATGCTTCTGTCGAGTTGGCGTAAGGAACAAAACTGTGTTCCTGCAGCATGACCTTTAAAAAAATTATTGTTGTTGTCGTTGTTGTCGTTGTTGTCGTTATTGTCGTTATATCAGTATAAATTCAGTACCTATATATATACACACACAAAACAAATTCCCCCGAACATTTACAAGAAATGGTAGTAAGCAAATGGGTATATAATTTTTTTTCATTCCAAAAGACGGAGGATATCAAATATTTAGTAATAAATCAGGTTCCATACTCTTACAAGCCCTTGATAACGTTAATTCAGATAATAGTGCAACAAGTCAAATCTTGTTAAACCAACTCACTGATCGTTGGCGATTCTGACTTCTCCCACTTTACTGCAACAACCATCCTTGCTGCGGTAAACGTCGTACTAATTCCAAATCTGAATCATTGACAAAACCGCTCGAAAAACCCAGAAGAATTTAATCGTGGTTCAAACGGTATTCCCCTATCTAGCATTTCATTTAACATAATTTACCACAATGTGTTGTCGAAGGCTTTCACGGCCAGACTTCATTAGTTGCTGTAGATTTTCCGGGTTGTCTGGCCGTGGTCTTGGCATTGTAGGATCTGACGTTTCGCCAGTGGCTGTGACTGGCATCCTCAGAGGTATAACACAGAAAGATGGAGTACTCTCTGTGTCAAGGTGAGAAGAAAAATGGTAGGAAGGTCATTTATATCTACTCAGGAAGGTGGGGTAGGGCTGAGTCATGATCTTGTGGGAGTTCCCCAGGTTATGAACATGCTAATGGAGGAGCTTTCCTGAGGAGGTTCTTTTGCATATGGATTGGAAGCTCCTCAGGAAAGCTCCTCCATTAGCATGTTCATAGCCTGGGAACGCCTACAAGATAATGACTCCGCCCTACCCCACCTTTCTGAGTAGATATAAATTACCTGCCTAGAATTTTTTGTCTTCTCACACTGACACAGAGAGTACTCCATCTTTCTCTGTCATACCTCTGAGGATGCCAGTCACAGCTGCTGGCGAAACGTCAGGTCCTACAATGCCAAGACCATGGCCACACAGCCCAGAAACTAATAATTTACCACGGTTTTCCAAAATGTTTTGATCTTAGGGCAAGACCAGGAAATACGGAACGGATCTGCAGAGGAATTGTTATCATTATTTATTCGATTTAGACCCCGCCCTCCCCGCCGAAGCAGGCTCATTACATCTCCAGCACTTATCCTCTGTTGTATAAGGGCTAAATCTATGGGGAGCTAGGTACCACTGGGGGCTGCGGTGGCTCAAGTGGTTAAGATGCTGATCTGCAGACCGGAAGGTCGGTAGTTCAGCAGTTCGAGACCCGAGTGCCGTGTGATGGAGTGAGCTCCCGTCTCTGACCCCAGCTCCTGCCCACCTAGCAGTTTGAAAGCAAGAGAGTGCAAGTAGATAAATAGGTACCGCTTCAGTGGGAAGGGAACAGTGTTCCGTGCGCCTTGGTGTTTAGTCATGCCGGCCACATGACCACGGAGAAGTCTTTGGACAGTGCTGGCTCTTCGGCTTGGAAACGGAGATGAGCACCAGTGTTCCCTTCAAGCTGAGTTAGTGTGAGCTGTCTCACAGTTTTTTAGCCTCCAGCTCAAACATTTTTGTCTTCGCTCAGGAAGGATGGCTCCAGAGCAAAGTAATTTACGCAGTAGCCAAATTGCTGGCTCACAACATAAACGCCAGTAGCTCACCAAGTAGAGTGTTTGCTCACAAGACTCCATGGCTTAAAGGGAGGATTGATGAGCACTGCAACCCCTTGAGTTGGATTCAACTGGCTTTCGAGCAAGGGAGACCTTTATCTTTACCTTAGGTACCACTGGAGAAGTAATGTATACCTGTTTTCTTTGAGACTAGTTGATAGTAGTCTAGGAACAGCTCTTTCCCAAAGCCAACCCCATTCCTCTCCTGTGATCGTAATTTGTGTGACCTGTTCAGTGCCAGCCCTGCTACTGGAGGGCAACAGTGGGGTGAAAGATGGGTACTGGAAAGACACCAAGGGACAGGGCAGGGCACCCACGCAGCAGGGGAAGCAGGAAGACGGCGGAGTTGTGGAAGCCAAAATCCGTTGGAACCGAGCCAGGATTCACACCTGGGAAGAAGAGGAGATTGGATTCATACCCCGCCCTTCGCTACCTGAAGGAGTCTCAGAGCGGCTTACAATCTCCTTCCCTTCCTCTCCCCGCAGCAGACACCCTGTGAGGTAGGTGGGGCTGAGAGAGCTCTCTCGAGGACTGCTCCTGAGAGAACAGCTCCGAGAGAACTTGTGACTGACCCAAGGTCACCCAGATGGCTGCATGTGGAGGAGTGGGGAATCAAACCCGGTTCCCCCCAGATTAGAATTTGCCCTCCTAACCACTACACCAAACTGGGAAGGATGCACAGTGCAGCTAAAGAGGCACTTGTCTGCTGTGGAAACTGGGGAGTGAGGGGCCTTACTTGGGTGCAAGACGCCTGGCAGAATATCTGCATCAGGGCCTCTAGGCCAGGTTTAAAGCCAGCCTAACCTATGCTGTGACCGGCAGAACACGTTGAGCAATATCCATAATCCGCCAACACAGTATGGGGAGAAGGCCGTGTTTATCCATTTTCCTGAACCAGTTTGATGCAGTGGTTAAGTGTGCGGACTCTAATCTGGGAGAACCGGGTTTGATTCCCCACTCCTCCACTTGCAGCTGCTGGATGACCTTGGGCTAGCCATAGTTCGGTCAGAGCTGTTCTCTCAAGGGCAATTCTCTCAGAGCTCTCTCAGCCCCACCTACCTCACAGGGTGTCCATTGTGGGGAAGGGAAAGGAATTTGTAAGCTGCTCTGACTGAAGGGCGGGGTATAAATCCAATCTCTTCTTCTCTTCTTCTTCTTCCTTTCGACTCTCTCGCCCCAGAGTCTGCCTTGCTTCTTGCTGGTTAGAAAGGTCCCTCTAGAAACGGGGACCAAAGAGTCCAAATACACATCACCAGGGGTCATTTCGTAGAAAAAGAGGTACAGGAGCTCATTAGCATAACTCATTAGCATAACTTATTTGCATATGCCACGCCCCCTGACATCACCGGAAGTGTGTCAGAAGGCAACACCCACCGCTCAGGCTCCACTGGACTGTTTTGGATTGCTAGCTATTGGAGGGAGGGGGAAACGTGCAGATCCGTCCTGACAGAGGAGGGAGAGCTTGTACCTGAAGGTGGGCCGGGGGGGGGGGGCTCTGCAACTTACCTGGCTGCTTCTTGCTCCTTGTGGCCTGACTGAGGGCTGCTGGGAGCAGAGGGCGGGGCTTGTTGCATGTGCCCGCCCCCTGGGCTCCTTACTGCCCATCACTCCTCTTGTCCGCTTCCTTCTGGTGCCACTTGCTCTGACGGAGCTTTTTTCTCTCTGCAGGTTTACACCGTGGTAGATGAGATGTTCTTAGCTGGCGAGATCCGGGAGACCAGCCAAACAAAGGTCTTGAAGCAGCTCCTCATGTTGCAGTCCCTAGAATGAGAGGCGGAGAAAGGAAATCCACGAGTCCCGGCCTCTCCTTGGCGAGATCCGGTCTCTACCCCTCCCAAGCTCATCTCTCTTCACCCAGTTCCCTGAATCAGTGACTTGCAGAAAGCAAAATTTTGTCCACTTTGTCGTTGGAGGCCGGGAGAAGCGTCTAAAATCGGAAACCGGCCCGCGTCTCTAGGCCTGTTTTGCCTCTCTCCTCACATGGAGAAGGTGCGGAGGATGGAAAGTAGTCGAGGTGGGGTTGGCCTCTTTTTCTCACCGGGGAGGGGGGGGAGGGAAGGAGCTCCCACTGTCCCACTACTGACACCATCCCAGCAAAAAAAAACCCTTTTCTGTACAACCGGTTCCCTGCCCCTATCCGCTCCTCTTAACGTGTTGCGCCGCGTCCGTTGTGGAAGAGGGACCATAACTCTGTGTGTGTGTTGTTGTGAGTGGTGGCGAATGCTCGTGCTGCCAGTGAAGTGATGTACTCGAATAAAGCGTCCATGAATACTTAAAAAAAAAAAAGGAATGTTCCTCCATTGTCTCTGAAAGGAGAGCGTTTCCTGTGCTGGAATCGTCCATCCCGCCGGGCTGTTCTTTGCGGTGCTCAGCAGCACTGGTGCCAGATAACTCCTAGCAGCCGTAGGCATAAAAGGCCACGTCCAAAGGGGAAAATTAAAAAAATGCTGTGCTGGTAAAACAAAAGGGTGGGGGACACAGAGGTGGATCCTGAGACGAGGCCAGCTGTACCGCCCCGCAGGGTGTATTGTGAAGTGAGGAGCCACAAGAGGACCGAAAGGGGATGGGCACTGCGAGCTCACAGGTCCGAGCACGAGCTTTTGGGGATTTTGAGAGGGGGTGGCGAGCACTACCCCGAACTGGCTACTGCAGGAGGTAGAGCCAAACCTGAAGGAAATGCCACTCACTTCACACCTTTCAAGATGTGAAGTGTAAATAGCCCTTTCTGCTATGGTCAGGCCCCACCTGGAGTCCTGTGTCCAGTTTTGGGCACCACATTTTAGGAAGGGTTGATGAGCTCGAGCGTGTCCAGAAGAGGGCAACCAGGATGGGGAGAGGGTTGGAATCCAAGTCTTACGAGGAAAGGCTGAAGGAGTTGGGGATGTTTCGCCTGGGAAAGAGAAGGCTTAGAGGGGACAGGATTGCAGTCTTCAAGTATTTGAAGGGCTGTTATGTAGAAGATGGAGCAGGTCTATTCTCTCTCGCTTTGGATCGCAAGACTAGATCTAATGGGTGGAAACGACAAGGGAGTCGATACCGGCGAAATATCAGGAGAAGCTTCCTAGCTGTAAGGGTGGGTGAGCAGTGGAACAGACTGCCTCGGGAGGTGGTGGAGGCTCCTTCGCTGGACATTTTCAAGCGGAGGCCGGACGACCACCTTTTGGGTATGTCATAGGGCTATCTTTCGGCTTTGCTTCTGCAGAGTGCAGGGGGTTGGACTAGATGACCTGCAAGATCCCTTCCAACTCTAACATTCTATGATTCTAAGAGATTGGATCTATACCCCTCCCTTCACTACCCGAAGGGGTCTCAGAGAGGCTGACAATCTCCTTTCCCTTCCCCTCCCCACAACAGACACCCTGTGAGGTAGGCGGGGCTGAGAGAGCTCTTTCGAGGACTGCTCGTGAGAGAACAACTCTGAGAGAACGTGTGACTGACCCCAGGTCACACCAGCAGCTGCATGGTGGAGGAGTGGGGAACTCTTAACACTGTATGATTCTATGAAGGAGATCCTGAAGGGAAAGCATGCCAGGCCCGTAGCCAGGATTCTCTTCTTCGAGGAGCCTTTTAAAAAAAAATGGGGGGGGGGCAGTTAACCTAATTAAAATTGATTCAATTACAGTCAGTCTAATTTCCTAGGGATGCCACTTGGCATCACTCTTTCTAGCTGCAGTAAGCCGGGGAAGGAGGTGGTGCCAGCGGTGGGTCCCTCGCCCAACAGTCCCTTCTTCCTCTTCCCCACTCCACGGAGAAGGCAGCAGCCGTGGCGGGGAGAGCCGGCCGCTCGCCCCCTGGCGCAAATTTAAAATATTTGAATGTATTTAAAAAGAAAGGTTTCTGGATTGGCTGTTGGTGGGGCGGGGTTTATAGTCAAGGGGACGGGCCCCCGAAATGCCCCGCCGTTGCCATGGGCCTGAACCACACACCGACTAAGGAAAGCCCAGGTGCCTACCGGTCCTCCAGCGGAAAACCCTTTCAGTTGAATGAGGGAAGCCAATAACAGGCCCTGTCTACAATGGCCCCGCCCACTTTCTGAAAATCTTGGCGTCCACGGGCACCACATTGGGGAACCCTGACTTAGACCAAGGGTTCTGCTTCTGGAGTCCCTTGGGCCCGCACAGGCTCAACGGGGAGAATGCTGCCTAGCCCTCGAGTGGGCCGAATAGCCACATCCATGCCAATGGGACTTACTGGCAGGTCACTCGGCGGCGGTAGAACTTGGTGGCCTTGATCGTACCACTCAGCTCCGTTCTCAAAGCAGCAGGCAAACCGCTGAGTGGGGACTGAGTGAAGAATTCGTTGCATTGTAATTGGTCCGGGGCAGTTACCACCCTTGAGAAAACCTCTGTTAGGCTGGTTGCTCACACAGACGGGTTTGGGTTGTTGCCTCTGACCCGGGGGGGGGGGGGGATCTTTTTCCTAGCCACCTTCCACACATGAAGAATAACGGATGTTTGGGTACCTCTCCTGGGGTACACTGGGGCGGTGGTTAGCTCCCCTTCACTGGCAGCTTTCAAGAAGAGGCTGGACGAATATTCGTCAGAGATAAGAACATAAAGAGAGGCCAATGTTGGATCAGGCCAATGGCCCATCTAGTCCAACACTCTGTCACACAGTGGCCAAAAATACCAGGTGCCATCAGGAGATCCAGCAGTGGGGCCAGGGGGTTGGACTAGATGTTCTGCATGGCCCCTTCCGACTCTATGACTTTGGTAGAAGGCTGGTAGTAGTAGTTTTGTAAATAGCCCTAATGAGGTTCAGCATACACCTATTCCACCAACGACAAACCTTTCACCTCACTAACCACGTCTGCGTGCAGGACAGGAAGAAGTCCCTGTCACTTGCCCAACACTGGGCCACTTTGGTTACACCTCTGATTTCCCCTGTATTTCTAGAACGCTTCAAAAGGTCAGGCCCACCTGAATTTCACATCTTTGTCTTTCCAAGCTCTGTCGAAACAGAATGGTCAAGAGGCGCTGCCGATTAGCCCTAATTGTTCCTCCAAAGCATGGATGCCGCTAAACGGCAGTTTTGCTCTTATTCTATTCCATCTACATGATCTTCTGCTGAACTGAAGTGACGGCTGAGTCTAAAATACTGCTGCCCTGAGCCACAGAGGGACCGGTGCCAGCTGTCCCACTGTGGCTTCTACTGACCTACAGGGAAAAATTCCATCTGAACTGCTGAGCTGTTTCTGCTGGCGGCCACGAGGGGTCAGGATTCTAGTATTGCAATTGATACCTTAGGAACGTCCTCGAAGGAAAGGATCTCTGGGAGGTGGGCAGGCTGCTGGACCGGGCAGAGGTTTAGTTCGGAAGAGGAATGTGCCCATATGCCCCCCTTTTCCATAGTTTGCTTTCATGTGTTGTCACTGTTGACCTTTTTTGTTTTGCTGGTCTTAGAGGCTGCCTCTCCCGATTTTTGTGCATCGCTTCTGTGCCTCTGGTGCAAAAAGAAAATATCGAAAAACTGTTTAGCGAGGATAACTTGGCACGAGAAAACGGAACGGTAGACAAACCAAATACACGCTGGACTCGAGACGTGGGATGGAAATGAAGGAATCGCAAGTCAAAGTGGCAAGGATGAGAAACCCAAAACGATCCTTGTATATGTGGAGATCCATTGCTTCTAGGACTGGCAGGTCTGGGTTGGGAAATACCTTGGGGGTGGATCCGGGAGAGGGCGGGGTTTGGGGAGGGAATGGGCCTCAGCAGGGTACAAGGCCACAGAGTCCACCCTTCGAAGCAGCCGTTTTCTCCAGGGGAGCTGATCTCTGTCAACTGGAGATCAGTTGTAAAAGCAGGAGATCTCCAGGCCCCACCTGGAGGCTGGCATCCCTAGTTGCTTCTGACATGGCCACCCTATGGATTAGGCAAAGGTAAAGGTTCCCTTGCTCGAAAGCCAGTCGAATCCGACTCTAGGATTGCGGTGCTCATCTCCGTTTCCAAGCCGAAGAGCCAGCGCTGTCCGAAGACATTCCCGTGGTCATGTGGCCGGCATGACTAGACGCCAAGGCGCACGGAATGCTGTTCCCTTCCCACCGAAGCCGTACCAATTTATCTACTTGCAATTTCTTGCTTTCGAACTGCTAGGTTGGCAGGAGCTGAGGCCAGAGACGGGAGCTCATTCCGTCATGCAGCACTCGGGTCTTGAACTACCAACCTTCCGGGCTGCAGTTCAGTATCTTAACCACTTGAGCCACCGCAGCTCCACCCCATGAATTTCTGTCCTCCAACACAAATTTAGAGTCCAGTGGCACCTTTAAGACCAACAAAGGTTCATTCCAGGTATGAGCTTTCGTGTGCATGCAGACCTTGTCAAATACATTGGAAAGGAAGCTAGATTTCAAACTTATAGATTTCAAACACCCTTTCGTTAACAGCCTCGCTCAGGTCTTGCAAACGAAGGGCCGTGGCTTCTTTTATGAAGTCCATCCATTTCATGTTGGGTCTTCCTCTTTTCCCGCTGCCTCAGTGGCATTAATTCCAACAGACACCAGCCCCCCAAGCTGCTAAAGTGGTGATGGGCTGCTCAGATTGGTGGTGCCTTTGGGTAGATCTGCATCATCTTGTTAAGGCAGGAGGCAAAATCATACTATGTGTACCCAGCTAGAGGAGGTGAAGCAAATCTTCGCAGTCTTCTGTTTCCCTGTGTTTCTGAGCAGATGTGGGATGTTAAGATGTTACGTCTCCATTAGGCAGCATAGCCTGCAGCCGACTGACTGAATGGTCACACCCAGGAGGTAATATGTCATTTGGTGTCGAACATGCGGCCCGGGGGCCGGATCAGGCCCCCAGAGGGCTCCTGTCAGGCCCGCAGTGGAACTGGCTGTCTTCTGCTGCTTCTTCCAGTTCTTCTGCTGCTGTGTCATCGCAGGTTTGCAGCTTACAGACACACACCTGAACAGCATACTCAGGATTGCAGCGGCACAGACGTTTTGATGCAATAATTCAGAGCGAGAGGTGTCAGCGATCGGACACGGTTAAATAAACAAAATATCGCAAGAGTGCTGATGTTTTAAGCATGTTTTTATTTTAAGTTTAAAAAAAACCCGCATTGTGTTCGGGTCCTTTATAAAGTTTATATCTCCGCTGCCTGGCATTACATTTTATGACACACCTGACCCGGCCCAACAAGGTCTCTTTCATGTCAGATCTGGCCCTCATAACAAATGAGTTTGACACCCCTGGTCTATACGGACCTACCTAAGATAGAGCCAGCATGGTGTCATGGTTAGAAGTGGCAGACTCTGATCTGGAG